AGAACTACCATCCTACAAGCCGCAAAGCACAGCAAAAATGAAACAACATAAACTGCTTGATGTGTATTTTCTTTTTAACCAAGAATGTGGAGAACCATACCCTCTAACAGTCTCTCCTAAGAGGCCATAGCATCTCACCTGGCCACCCTGTGATAAATAAATCTACCAGACTCTGAAAGTGAAAAAGTGAAGGTGTTAGTTGACTCTTTGTGACCCTATGGACTGTATGTAGCCCATCAGGTCCCTCTGTCCATGGAAGTCTCCAGGCAAGGTACTGGAGTGGGTTGCCATGACCTTCTCTAGGGGATCTTCCCAAGCCAGGGATCAAACCCAGGTCTCCTACATTGCAGGCAGATTCTTTACCATCTGAGCCACCTGGGAAGCCCAGATTCTACCAGGAAAACAAAAGACGGGATCACTTAGTTTAGCTTCCTATACAACTAGGTTAGTCTATACAGAATTTACCTATCTTCAGTTTCCCACCTATGTGACTCCTCTCATAAAATTCTTCTGCATTTATACATCTGGCAAGTTCTTCAATATTCTGAGAAAGAAGCAGCATTACCTCAAGTATCAAAATGTATTGCCTTAAAAAGAGGTTGGAAAAGGTATACAATGAAAGAAACTTAAAAATACATGATCACTGGCCATTATTATAGAAATACACAAAAGAGATAAAAAATTAAAAAATATTGTTCTCTTTTCTTCTTAAGATGAACAAATCATAAAATAGGTCATGCGTTATAAATAATATATAAAATAGTAGGTTAAGGTACGTTAAGCAACCTAGCAAATTTTAAAAATTCTGACCCTGCAAGAGAAAGGCAGTTTTAGAACAAAAATTTTTCCACTGATAAAAATAGTGCTTTAAGGTTAACTGTAGGGTTCTAAAAAAAATCTTGTCAACATCTCTCTATAACATTAATAACATTCAAGTCCATATTTACAGAAAAATTTTGGCAAGCCAAGCTTGCACAATTAAAATAAATACAATGTCACGTGATCTGGTCTCCCAAAGCCTGGAATTTTGACCTTGGCTGAAGTCTTCCCAATTCTAACGCTATAAATAACTACTTAAGTTGAACAAAATATTAAACTATTAATTCTCACAGAACGGGGTTGTGTCTTTTCAATGTGTATGTCCTGGGCAAATACTTAGCACGGGTTTATTTGCTCAACAAATATTTACTGTGTGCCTACTAGGACTCGAGGGCTTCCCTGCCAGCTCAGTGGTAAAGAATCCGCCTGCCAACGCAGCAGACACAAGAGATGCAGGTTCAGTCCCTGAGTCGGGAAGATCCCTGTAGGAAGAAATGGCAACCCACTTCAGTATTCTTGCCTGGAGAATCCCATGGACAGAGGAGCATGGCAGGCTACAGTTCATGGGGTGGCAGAGTCGGACACGACTTAGCAACTAAACAACAACAAACCAGGACTAACTCCATGCCAGGCAATGAAGATATAAAGGTGATCAAGACCAACACTATGCTGCTCCTTAAAAGACTAAGACAGCAGAGAAGACAGTTAACAAAAAATTGCAAAAAGTCATCATCTGGGAATTTAGGATAAGCAGGGGTATTTGAACAAATCTATCAGGGAAGGTGTTCTGGAGGAAGTTCAGAGGCAGTGTCTTTAAAACAAACATCTTCAAGGTAACAGAACTGTATGTCTGTAGGTTACTGCTGTTCACTCCCATCAGTTATATTATTCTCATAACAGCTGCAGGTTAATTTATATGCTAGGTTTATGTTCAGTATAAAATGAAGCTTAAAAGAGGCTTTATAAATCAAAGTTTCTTAGCTATAGTATGAAACATCAAAAGGAATCACTTCTACCACTTCAGGGAAATCAAATATAAGCATAAAAAATGAAGAGGCAACACGAGTTGAAACTATTTCTGACACACGGCAGACTGAGCTCATGACTTTCAGCCCCTTCCTTCTCTAACCACATTAAGATCACAATAAATGAATCTCTCAAAAGGTGTAAACACACAAGGACTAAAAAAGCAAAAAAGGAAAGGAGACTTAAACACTCAAGAGAATTCATCAGACTTATAAAATTGAAGACCTAGAGGAGTGATAATTGACCTAGAGAAGCAGAGGCACTCCCTGGGTAGCGTGGAGGAGGAGCCAAACAGAAGTTAGCTGATTTTCAGCAAAGACCCGGGAAAGGATGAGGCCCAGGGAACACACTTCGTGGAAGCAGAGCAAGCAGTGGGGCTGAAAAGACAGAATGAGATAACAGCATGGAAGCCCATCCCTGGACACTCCCCCAGCACACACGGTCTCACACGAACGTGAGCCTGTGCCTGAATTCAGAAGACAACTGCTCCTCCCAACTCCCCTATTCTTTACAGAAGTGTAATGACACCAGAGAAAAAGACTTTAAAAATACTGACATTTGGATGCCACCCTAATGAAAAGCCCAGATCACCAAATGAAAAGTCATGCTCAGGTATAAAGAGCTTCTCAAATTCAGACAGGCAACAACCACAGATAAGCAAGGAAAACCTCCAAAAAGGAAGTGAGAGCTTAGGAAAAAAAAAAAACCTGGAAGAAACAACACAATGCATGGAGTAGTAGACAATTTTTAAAAACCCTATAATTAATATCCTTATGATACAAAGAGAACTTTATCAGCCATAAAACAAAACAGAATGCTGAAACACATGAATAGCAGAGAACACAAAATAGTTCTTCTAATTAAAAAGTTAGGATAGTTGAAATAAAACATTAAAAAGGCAGGTTGGAAGATAAAGTCAAAGATACCTCTCATTTAAAAAAAAAAGCTAGAATTTAAGTAAGATTAGAATTTGAATTAGATTAGGATCTGTCAGGAAGTGTAACTTCAGACTGACACACATTCCAGAAAAAGAAAATAGAGAAGAAACTGTCCAAGAAATAATACAAGAAAAGTACAAAGAACTTCCAGATGTGAATTTCCTTACTGAAAGGATCTTTAAGTATAAGACACAATAAATGAAAAAATGCCCATACCAAAGCTGATTATCCTGAAATTTTCAAACACCAGGGATATAAATTTTTCAGAGGGGGGAAACATAAAATACAAAAGGAATAAGGGTAAGACACAACTTCAGTATTATTTGATTTTTAAAACAATGTACAGGAATTTTTATAAACACCAAGCAATAATAACATAGGTAAATAAATAGACAATAAATAAGTAAACAAATGAATAAAATAAAAATACAAATTTGCTGAATGCTCACTACATGCTAGGAGTGCCACTCTAACTCCTTTAAGTATATTAACTCATTTAACTGTCACAACTCTATGAGACAGACTCTATTAACCTCATTTTACAGATGAGGAAACAGGCATTGAGTTTCAGTAATGACACAACTAGGAAGTGATAAAACCAGAGTCCCAGCTTTCTGAGTGTGGGCTTTCAAAAACTGCATGACACTCTCTCAACTTTAAAAGTAAAATTGATTTTTTAGAAAGAAGAAAATACCATTTGAATCTTCAATGTTCCGAGATAACTGTGGTTGATTAAAAGGTTTCCCTTGTGGCTCAACTGGTAAAGAACCTGCCTGCAATGTGGGAGACCTGGGTTCAATCCCTGGGTTGGGAAGATCCCCTGGAGAAGGGAAAGGCTAGCCACCCCAGTATTCTGGTCTGGAGAATTCCATGGACTGTATAGTCCATGGGGTCGCAAGCCTCGGACACGACTGAGCACCTTTCACTTTCACTTGGTCAAACAGGACACATGCTTAACATGTGTTTGTGGCAGGGAGGAGGGGCCGGTGGTAGGGGTGGCGGGGTGGGGGGAGGGGGGGATATTTGCTAGTATTTTAAGTATTCACTGTATAAATATACTTTGCACTATGTATTTGTGATTTGCTACTACAAGGTCCTTAATATAGATTCCCTGCTCTAAATACATCTAAATACATCTCCACCAAAAGAACTGATGAACTTACATCAGATCACCATCACCTATTTGGGCAAAGAATAAAGGGTATATAAATTATATTAAAGTTAAAAACAGAACAGCTGTCTCTTTCCCCAGTTATTGTCATCTAAGCCCTTCACACTCTGTCTTGCAGGAATTTTCCTAGATGACTTCCTAGTCATGCATGACTCTTAATACACCAATAAGACAAAAGCTTCTTGCCCCTCTTCTCACTCTTGCCTTATACTCACCTTTACCTTATATTGTCAACTACATGATGATACCTGAACAGTTTCCTCTGAAGTTCCTCTACAAGAGTTAATCCTCTTTCAGTTTCCTACTTCCACTGTCCTATCCATCTTCTCGCTTATTGACTGTACTGAAGAATATCTGGCTTTACTGGGGGAGGAGGGAGGGAGAGAAATATACTTCTTGAATAACTGTTGTCGTTGTTGTCTTTTGAATCTGGTGACATCTTCACTCGTTCTTTCTGACCTATGATAAGGAGGCTACACAGTTTTGGCAATTCCCCTCTTGGGACTCATAAACCTCCAAACAATAATGCAGTGGCTTTTGGGATCTCAGACCACACCTTTGATGCGCTCCTACAGCACTGAACCTCCTTGATCATGCGCTGAGGCCCAGCTCTGCCTGGAAGTATATTCTCTCGAGTATGCAGCCCTTGTTTCTGCCATGACTTTCAGCCTGTCTTGCCCTTGGCTTCTGCTGTGTCGATTTTTTGTTTGTTTGTTTTATTTTGTCGTGGGTTTGGGCTTTGGTGGCGGCTGCAGCAACCTAAAGGCCCTGATGTGATGCGTCAAGACATGTGATGCACCAAATGTGTCTTCCCCACGCTGGGTGAACAGACCCGGGGCTGCCCGGCCTAGAAGGTTTCGGTCTCCCTCACAGGACGTCCCCGAGCAGCGGCCCCAGAGCCACACTGCGACAACCCCCAACGTCCGGTCTCACGCGCGCCCCGCGCGGCCGTCACCCCGTCTCTCCCGGCGCTCAGGTGTTAACACCTGGCGGTCCTCACCCCGAGAGTCACCTGCCAGCCCGCGCAGGCGCTCCCACAGACGTACCGTCTCCTTGGCAGCGGCGACCGGGATGGGAAACAGCCCCCCGCCGCCGGGCGGGTCCTCGGGCTCGGCGGCCGCGCTCTCCGAGGGGAGCCAGGGGCCCGGCGCCCGCGCGGAGTCGGCTCTGGGGTCCCCGTACAGCTGGTAACATACCAGGCCGACTAGACCCCCGCCGGCCGCGGCCGCGAAGCTGAGCTCCCGCCAGCGCCGCCGCCGCCTCCAAGCCGCCTCCGCCACAGCCCCCTCGTCCTCCTCCCGGCAGGAGAAGGGCCGGCCCGGAGGGCCCGGAGCTGTCCCCGCAGGCCGCCCCCACGGCCCAGGGGCGGGATGATGAGGCGAGCACGGAGGCGGCAGCCGAGGCGGCGGCCACAGGAGCCTCCGCAGCGCAGCCATAGCGGGAGCTGCCGGCGCCTCAGCCAGGAGGGGGCGGGTGAGGGGGCGGAGGGGGCCCCGAAACCTCGCGAGAAGTCGGTGCGACGAGCTTCGCCGCTGTCCGAGAGCGACCCCTACGATTGCCGCCCCTCACTGGAGTCACCTGTTGGAGCGCTTTTGGCTGAGGAGGGTCGAGTGGGGCGTCTCTGGCTGTGGAGAAGCCTGGGGAGGACGAGGCACAACCGGCTGCTCCTCGACTCCGCATTCCCAGCCCAACCCCGCGGTCATAAATAACTTGCGCCTGCCTCCGGAGACACCTGACTGCGTGAGAACCCAACACCGCAGGCGACAGCCGGGTCGGCGGGGCTGGGCCGAGCCCTCGGTTGCCAGGGTGTCTCGACGCCCCTCCGCTGACTGGGTCCTCCGCCTCTGCTTCGCGGGGGTGGGTCTCCGTCAGCCTAGCGCCCCGCTAAGAAAGTCACATCCCCTAACGGTATCCTGATCTTCAGATACACCGTGAATAATTTACAATTGTGTCTTCAGGTGTTGCGACAAAAATGGCACATAAAAATTTGGTTCAAGTCATAAAACTAGCAAATTAAGCCAAAGAATTTTTTTTTATTACGTGACAGTTTCTGATATTTTGATGGGAGAAGGCTAATAGTGTTTGAGGGGAGAAGGCTAATACTTTTTTTTTTGAAGCGGGGGGTACAACTGCTTTACAGTGTTGTGTTAGTTTCTGCTGCGCGACAGAGTGAATCAGCTATACTTAAACATATATCCCTTTTGAGCTTCCCTCCCAGCCACCCCTTCCCATCCCACGCATCTAGGTGATCAGAGCACAGAGCTGAACTACCTCTGCTGTAAGCAGCTTCCCACTAGCTATGTGGATGGTCTTAAGTCTTGTCACTCAGAGTTAAGTAAGTCAGGGAGAGAAAAACAAATAGAGTATATTAACCAGTATATGTGGAGTTTAGAAAAATGGTACAGGTGAACTCATTTCCAGGGCAGGCATAGAGAAGCAGAGTAGAGAACAGACACGTGGGAGGCGTGGAGAAGGGGAGAAGGATGATCTGGGAGATTAGGATTGGCACACCTGCTGTTTTTTAGTTATCCTCCATGTGTTTAAAAAACATTGCCATACCTGTGGTGACTTCATTCAATAAAACAGAGCTGTCTTGAAAGATACTTTCGGGAGGAAGCTGTTGATATAAATAATGGGTAAGCACATTGTGTCATTTTGGTTATTTCTGTACTTGTTTGCTACACTTCATGTGAACGTTTTTATATTTTTATCAGTTTCCTACCCCTGAATGCAGTTTTGGTAACTTGGTTACCTAGCTCTGATATTTATATTCTGGAATGTTTAGAGGAGCCCTTCAAATACTCTGGATCTAGGGATATGAACAATTAAATTCAGTAATCTCAATTGAACTGTGGTCACAAGGGGTTTGAGTGCGTGCTGTGACTTCAGTCGTGTCTGACTCTTTGTGACTCTATGGACTGTAGCCAGCCTGGCTTCTCTGTCCATAGTATTCTCCAAGCGAGAATACTGAAGTCCGTTGCCATGCCCTTCTCCAGGAAATCTTTCCAATCCAAGGATAGAACACCCAGTTCTCCTACAGCTCCTGCATTGCAGATGGATTCTTTACCACTGAGCCACCAGGGAAACACCCACAAAGAGTTTAGATCCTGGCAATTCTTATGAAGACTAAGGGTTTCCAGAGGCAAACAAAATGAGATTTTTCTGACCCAGATTCTGAAATTGCAATTCCTAACAAAGCCCTTGCCTGTAAGTAATCTATCAGATACACCTCAATTACTTCTTATTTTTAATATAGGCTAATTGCCAACATCTGTTGGATCATCCAAAAAGCAAGAGAGTTCCCGAAAAACATCTGCTTTATTGACTACGCCAAAGCCTTTGATTGTGTGGATCACAACAAACTGTAGAAAATTCTTAGAGATGGGAATACCAGACCACCTGACCTGCTTCCTGAGAAATCTGTATACAGGTCAAGAAGCAACAGTTAGAACTGGACATGGAACAACAGACTGGTTCCAAACAGGGAAAGGAGTACATCAAGGCTGTATATTGTCACCCTGCTTATTTAACTTATATGCAGAATACATCATGTGAAATGCTGGGTTGGATGAAGCACAAGCTGGAATCAAGATTGCCAGGAGAAATATCAATAACCTCACATATGTAGATGACACCACCCTTATGGCAGAAGGTGAAGAGGAACTAAAGAGCCTCTTGATGAAAGTAAAAGAGAAGAATGAAAAAGTTGGCTTAGGACTCCACATTCAGAAAACTAAGATCATGGCATCCAGTCCCATCACTTTATGGCATATAGATGGGGAAACAATGGAAACAATGATGGACTTGATTTGGGGGGGGGGCTCCAAAATTACTGTAGATGGTGACTGCAGCCATGAAATTAAAAGACTGTTGTTCCTTGGAAGAAAAGCTATGACCAACCTAGACAGTATATTAAAAATCACAGACATTACTTTGCCAACAAGGGTCTGTCTAGTCAAAGATATGGTTTTTCCAGTAGTCATGTATGGATGTGAGAGTTGGACCATAAAGAAAGCTGAGCACAAAAGAATTGATGCTTTTGAACTGTGGTGTTGGAGAAGACTCTTGAGTGTCCCTTGGACTGCAAGGAGATCTAACCAGTCCATCCTAAAGAAAATCAGTCCTGAATATTCATTGGAAGGACTGATGCTGAAGCTGAAACTCTAGTACTTTGGCCACCTGATGCGAAGAACTGACTCATTAGAAAAGACCCTGATGCTGGGAAAGATTGAAAGCAGGAGGAGAAGGGGACGACAGAGGATGAGATGGTTGGATGGCATCACTGACTCAATGGACCTGAGTTTGAGTATGCTCCGGGAGTTGGTGATGGACAGGGAAGCCTGGAGTGCTGCAGTCCATTGGGGTTTCAAAGAGTCACACACGACTGAGCGATTAAACTGAACTGAACTGAATGGAATTTTTCTTTCTTAAAGCCACTAAAAGTGATAAACAGAAAAGTCCTCTATTACAAGAAACAAATGTATCTATTTCAGGATGCCATCTCTGTGTTTCTTTTACTTTCAGCCTGTTGGCTTTATGTATTCAGTACCATAAGGAAAACTGGTGGCTCCTTGTTTTAGCACCAGGATTCCTTCAATTTTTGCTTCCTCTGAATTCTGAAAATTTCCACAGAAGTATTTATTCTCTGGATATATAATGCAGTTCTTCTTCTGACATTGTTTACTTTGAGCGAAATACAATTTGTGGATTTTCTCATAAATTTCTCACATGGCCTAATAGCAGAGTTCTTGGACAGACTGATGAATTTTTATTAGATGCATATTAAAAGCCAGGTAGCTATAAAGAGAATTAGGGAGGTAATAAAATAAGGTATTACAGATAAGGAACATGACAGAAATTCTCTACTTAACATGATTTAAGATATATATCTAACTCTATATAATTTCTCTCTAGTTTAAAAAAAATTTTATAGAGTTCCTGCAAGACATTTCTTTGGCTCAAAATCAAGTTCTGCTGTGAGAGTTGCTGGGTTTAGTAGGTTCTCCAAATACTCAGAAGGCTTTGGGTAAAAGGTCTCTCTGCATGCAGAAGTTATTCTAATTATAACTTTCCTTTGTACCTCCCTCCTAAAGGCTGTGGTGGTGCTGATTTAGTCACTAAGTTGTGTCCGACTCTTTGTGACCCCATGGAGGTAGCCTACCAGGCTCCTCTGTCCATGGGGATTCTCCAGGCAAAAATACTGTAGTGGGTTGCCATTTCTGCCTCCAGGGGACTTTCCTGACTCAGGAATGGAACCTGCATCTCCTGTGGCTCCTGCACTGGCAAGCAGATTCTTTATCACCCAGCCACCTCGGAAGCCTGCTTTGCAGACTCGTTTCCTATAAAATAAAGGAATATAGATGATCACCTTCTGAACCTATGAGCCTAATTAACCAAAATGCTCCAAGCTTATTAGTAAACCAAATATAAATAGTTTCTTCATAGCATTTTTCATATGTCATTTCCCTTCTCGAAATCTGTGCTGCTGTGCTGTGCTTGTTCGCTCAGTCATGTCAGACTCTTTTTGACCCCATGAACCGTAGCCCACCAGGCCCCTCTGACTATGGGGATTCTCCAGGCAAGAATACTGGAGTGGGTTGCTATGCCCTCCCTCAGGGGGTCTTCCCAACCCAGGGATGGAACCCAAGTCTCCCGAATTTTAGGCAGATTATTTTACCGTCTGAGCCACCAGGGAAGCCCTTCAAAACCCATCATTGCCCTACAGTTGCTTTTTTCTTTCCAATTACAATTTCACCCCATGACCCAATTATTTTCACCTTTTAATACTTTTAAAATTGCAAACAAAATGAGTGACTTTTAAATTTCGAAAAGGTGAAATTTAAGTGTAATATGTGTCATGCCTAGGCAGAAATGTCCTGTTTAACAAAAACTCCTATTAAAAAAATCCTGCTTGTCTAGTTGTATTCATTCTCGGCACTAGAATCTTGACTCCTTGGAAGAGGAGCAATTATATCTGAGATCCTACATCAGGGCAGATGAGCCCCGCCTCCATCCTCAGGCCTACTCAATTCTGACAGAGGGAGGCCACCAGCCAAAGACTGCAGCAAGCCACTGCTCTCTTGGGAAAGTGGTCCTCATCTTCAGTGCTGTTTTCCTTGGGGGAATAATTGGCAGAGTCAAAAGAGAAAGTGATGGGAAAGTATGTTCTATGGAGTTGCAGCCTTTTGTTGGTCATTTGTCTTCAGAGAGCCAGCCTCTAGGAGCCTGGAACTTTATTCCCCAGCATGCAGAGCCATGGAAACCCATTTATGGAAGGTGCTAAGGATTCTTTTTCTATTTTGACCAGCTTCCACTGCCAAAGACAGGTTGATAATGGTTTGCACTCTGACCTCTCCCCTTGGTCAAAGTAAAGCCTCCTGGCTCCATGAAGCCAGATCAACTACTTAGTCCAACTGCTTGCACATAGTAGGACTTC